TATATATGTGTGTGTGTGTGTGTGTGTGTGTCTATGTGTGTTTGTAAGCTAACGAGACGCTGATAAAAAATTGATGGTGATAGTCTCTCTTTCAAAGTTCAAATTGTCATGCACTTGGCATGTATAGTCAAAGCTATCTGTCACCTGCAGGTAGATGACTCTATTTCATCCAAACGTTAACCATATCAAGAACTTCGGGGATCAACCAGGGAGGGTAAATAATAAGAACCTAGAGGGACGGAGAATGTGCCCCGAGTGGGGTGTGCTTGACTCAGGAAAGCCTCCTAGGAATTGAAGCATGTGCATTGAGCTGGAGCTGTTGGTAGTCCGATAAATAAAATCGTTAATGTGAGAACAATCATATATGGTCGTCGAATACCTTCCACAGCGGCGTGGTGTATATTAAAGTATTGGACCGTCTCTCGCCTTCACACTAGAAGTACAGTCTTTAAAAGAGTACCTGGTATTTTTAACTTCAACAGCAGGTGGTGTAGTGAGACAAGTAGTGGCCGAGCTCCCTCTCGAGTGTAAGAGGGTACCCTATACTTAAGAGGTAGATGCGATAGTTACCCAGCTTGCCAGTAAGATAAATGGTGCCTCTCAGATAACTCTGAGTCACTCTCTCCGAGAGTACGGGTATCAATAAGTATATAAAAATAGAATACGTAGTAGGTAAGTGAATAATAATAGTGGTAGGTAATCTTAGATGGGGTGAGTGACTAAGCGCACATAACGCACAGACTAGACTAGACTAGGCTATATCCCTAACATAATACCTACAAAGAATAGGCGGATACTAAAAAAGAAGTTCACTTCCTTTTCTGGTACCAACCTTGTAACTGAGTCTGAGGATGATGTAATATGGATGGTATTTATCTTTATACGTATATATATATATATATATATATATATATTTGGATATATATTTATTTTTATATTTATAAGTATATATATATATATATATATGTTATATTATATATATATATATGCGTGTATACGAATGTATGTATATATATATGTATGTATATATATATATATATATATATATGTATATATATATATATACATACATATATACATATATGTGTGTGTATTTATAAATATATAATGTATATACAAATATTAATATTAATATAAATATAAATAACATATAGACAGTGCAAATATCTGGAAGAACATGCTCAACTGGGTACACTTCTATTTGGGATACTTTATGATAAATAAAATAAAACTGAGACAACAGGCCTGTACTCAAATCATCTATTTCCAGACGTATGTAGCAATCAACATCTTTTATATCCAATACGCGCATATGGGCGCCCCGTATACTTTCGTAGGGGTTATGAATGGGCGTTATTTAACCCAAACCCCAAATTCGTTCAGACCCAAAAAACTACATTTCGCGTTCCTTGTATCCCATCCTCTATTCTAATTATCCTGATCATTGGCCAGCCTGTACACGTTGAACTGACCTCCCTGTCCTGAAATGGTGCTCACTTCAAACAGGTACACCACACATATCACCACATGCCCCCGATTGTCGGTCACCGCTTGGAGTATAGAGAAGTTCTCCAGCACCTGATTCTTCATATCGATGTCAGAGTATGTCTGCAAATCGTCCAGCACTGCTCGAGCGTAGTCGCACAGACACTCTTGCGAGAACATGTACTGCGCCATACCCCCCTCGTTTATCGGGGGCTCTGGGTGTTGTATGCCTTCGAACACCGTGTTGCCGTTGAGATACAACCTTGTAAACAGGGCCACTTGTAACGACGCAGTGCTCTCGTATTTGCTCTCCATCATGTACCGTTTGGAGTCTACGGTGCTATAGTCCAGGTCCAACCAGCCCTTGACCACATAAAAGGAGTCAGGCGCACCCCGCAGGAATATCTCCTCGAGCCCACTCAGCTTATCGGCAATCTGCGACGAGTAGACGGTCTCCATATCCGCCTCAAAGAACTCGTTACCCGTGTACTGTAGAATGGCGTGTGTATCCGTTATGCTGGCACCTCTGTCACGTGAGAGTTGTACGAACGCGTTGACAAACACGGGTCGGACAACGGGCTGCCCACTGACGCCCATGGCTGCAGGGGTCCCCATTTGGTGTTGCATGCCAAAGGACTCGGCTGTTATAGTCCAGTACACAATGAGGTTTCTGTTAGTAAGGCGAAGATACTCTGCCTATGGCCCTACCATACGAGCGCTCAACATGGACACACAGTCGATTGCAATTGAGAACGTCACGTACATGTGGTTGGGATGTTTTAAAATAGATTCAATCAGGCGGTATGTACATACGCTGACTGGATGGACACACTCATCAACGCTCTCCGTACAACAAGCTGCACAAACCCAACAAACAACCCCTACAATGATTGTATAAAGCCCGGCTGAACTAACACGTTGTGTATCGTATGTGCGACACTGATATCAAACTGGAGGCACACATAAGTGATCCTTCAAGTCATTTGAAAGACAACCGTACACGTGCCGTGACACATAAACTTAGTTTAACACGCGATCGGATACAGTTATATCAGAACAAGAAAATATACGTTGATGGATGTATCGGGGCTGCGTTAAAATAAAGAGACTCAACTAAATCATGCGCGTTTGATGTTCTACATAGAGCAAGAGCAAAGCAAACATATACGCTCGCAGCTGGAGATAATAAGCATAACGCATTCTTGCCATTTAACACACGCTTAAGGGTAAGTGCGAGTATAAACTATACATAGCCATACGCTACCACGTGCACGAAGCACACTGCCCGGAACGAACCTATGAGACCATGCACTAATAAGCACATACATAAAGCGACAAGTGGTGCACAAACCATACACTTCTCACCACAACTACGATTGACCCTACTACTCTCAAACTACACGCACCAATATCAGAAAAAGCCCAAACACGTGTGAAATAAACTCCGCAAACACATACCTGAAGCAGTACTATAACGAGGCCTTGGCTCGTGTACTGCGAACCCGGGGGGACCTCTAGGTCCGTCATCCGGTTGTTGCCACTGAGGCACTCCAGAAGGCACTTGGTGTGGTCCCATAGGCCCACCTTGGTTGACGCCTAGTGAACCCGCTGACCCTAACCTAGCCAGATCCCGTCCACTGCTTTCAGGCAGTCCACCATAACCAGGCCCACCCTGTCCCATAGACCCATTTACATACCCCCCCCTGTCCATACCTGGACCCCCAGGACCGTACGGGCCGTCTCCAGCATACTGCACACTCCCGTAACCACCCCTTCCTGGTCTGTCTGAGTATCCCACCTGTGGTTCGTAGTAGTCCCCACGACCGCCTCCCATATATCCTGCCCTGTCATTGTGCATATTAGGGCCGTACCTGTCATTGGGTGGGCCGCCTGAGGGACCCATATAGCCGTACTGGTCCATGTTACCACGGTTACCGCGACCGACTCCAGGCCCATGCTGATCATTACTGCGAATCTTGTCTGAGTTAACACCACCCCCACCGCCGCCCCCACCACCCCCGCCTTCCCCTTTGACGCCTGTGCGTTGTTTTCTACGAGCCAGGACTTGAATGTGACTCGAAACCTGTTTTCGTGTACGATGCTTACCCGTTCGCTCGAATATAAACTGGGCAATCAGCTCGTTGCGCCCATACATTTTTCCTTCCTTGTTTAAAACAATTTTTTTACGCCCACAAGGTGGATATAGAACCAACGCATCAAAGAATGCAGCTTCTATATCGGGAGTCCACGGACTGTTGTCCTCGTTTTGGTCGCCGGACTGGCTATCATTATCGTTGTGTATATTATCGTCTCCGTCACCAAATCCATTAGCCCCCATATTATCCCCGCCATTCCCATTAGCACCACCCATATTGTCGCCACCTCCGTTCCCACTTGTCATTGCAGTGGACATGGCATGTATAAGAGGTGTTCTGTGCGGTATACCGAACTTGACGATTCGCTAATATAGCCTCTCACAAATCACTAATGGTAAAGAATTCAAATGAAGAACAAGACATAAACGGGCGTTACGACAAAATGAAAAGAGGCAGCCGGCTTGCAAATGCACGAAGTACGAATCCTCTACTGAGAGTAGCACGGGTTGAGGTCTGTAGATGCACGTCGGTTTACTCTCCTGTGGTGAGTTATGAGTTATACAACGCAAATCAGTATCTATGCTTAGTATGCTAGTACTCATCCACGCGTGTCTTTTGTATCTTATGCGGCATTAGCATCTGAAATTCTTTGTTATGTACATACGAGTGCAACGGTTAATCTGTAACCAGGTTGCTAGATCGATTACCCTTATAATAGAACGATGTTTTCGCCGCACATTTTTTATATATAATTTTCCTAACCGGAAGTCCAAATATTTACAGATTTATACAGACATAGCTGAGCCGTTGTAGGGTACATAAATATTTGAATATTATCGGTATGTACGTTCCATACATTCTTTTGTGATCCTTCACCGGTCCCAATTCCCATACAAATTTCGGGAAACTCTATAGTCTGTGTCCCAAAGTGACCCAAACCCCACACTACACGGGCCACAGCCCACATTTTATTGAGCCGTTACAAACAGACCTGACAATCGGGGACCTACTCTACCGAAGGGAGCGAGTAGGCGAACAGACCGACGAGTCGTTACGTAAACTTTTAAGTATTTGCCAATACTGGAAACTTCATATCACAATGGCACCATCTGCCTGAAACAGAAAGACATGTTAGAATTACATTATCAATAAACGTAATATCCAACCGACATTCAAATTTTCCTAATTACTACCCCAATATATATAAATAGAATACTGGACAGTGGGTAATGAGTACTGGCCAATAGTTATTATAAGGACTTTTAATGTCAAATACATATTTTTTTTGTGAAAAAATAGGTTCGCTTTCTCTAAAAAATATCCAGGCGGAATTTTTACCAAATCTTCAAAAAAATTCGAACTGCCAACTCTAGTGCAAAATAAAAAATGTGAAATTGTTTGCAAATAAAATTGTTTGACTTTGCTACTCAACAGTCCATCTATTTATAGAATTGAAGACGAGAATCACCGGTATTTAACGGTAGTCCGAGAACCGAGAGACCAGACTCCAGAGTACGAGAAAAACAAGTTTATTTTAAAATAATAATAAAAACTATGTAGTTATAAAATTATAGCTTACTATTTGAATTTTCATACAAAATGGAAAATTCGGATCTAAACTATGTGTTTTAAATTATAAACAATGATAAATTTGAACCAATTGTAGAAAAAAAAACAATTATTTTGCGACAAGAAAACATATATCCCGTTGAACTTGAAGTATTTTAGACGATAGTGCTGACTGCCTACTCTGGATTCTGTTACGCGATCGTGACACATCGAGCCAACTGAAATGTCCTTTACAAAACTCTCTCAATTTCTATTCGAAATCGTTGATTAGAATTGGGACTCCGGAGTGCGGTCTGCGGAGCGGGGACTGAGTCAGCCACAGTGTGAGCAGTGAGACTGAGTCTCTCAGAGTTGTGGAACTGTGCGCCTGTGCGTCTGTGACTCTGTGACTCTGTGTCTCTGTGTGGACTGTGGACACGACTTCATTGTCATTCTTGCGTTGTGTCAGTGTGATATGGGAGACTATCAACACAAGTCTGTTCTGTTTTTTTGTTGTTTTTTTACAAACAAAAAGCCCTAAGGAGCCCTCGTGTCCAGTGTCCACTGCATCCAGACTCCAGACTCACAGAGTCCAGACAGCCAGACTCCAGTCCCAATTTCACCCCCAGATTGGTCACTGGACTCGTCTGGACTCTGGACTCTGGACAACTAAAATATCGGTCAATATTCAATACAAAGACTACAGTAAGACACGCGCGTCGCGTTTTCAAAGGCTGAAGTTCGAGTCGAAGGCCCAAAGCTGAGCTGCTGTCGGCCGATAGCAGGATGCTAATTTAGCCTGCTGAGACAAACTGATGAGACTGTGACAGGGCGGACACTCCGGACAGACTGGGACTCATCAGTGACTGACTGTGACTTTATATTTATACAAAAAATTGGGGGGGGTTTTTCAAAAACAAATCTCTTCATCCACCTATTCCACTGCAATCTGCATCAGTCAAAAGAAACTCGCCTTTTTATTTATCTATTTTATAGTCTGATAGACTCTGGACTCTCTCAATCCTAAAAATAGCTTTTTTGTTGTTGTTGAAAAAACTAGAAAAAGACTGGGGATATTTTATTTAGGGCAACTATATTATATATAAAATTAAATACAACGATGTATGGGCCTTTCCCGTACTATCTCGAACGCCCATGTCCCAGCAGCCCCAAGAGGCAAGGACCGTCTATAAAATACCGGCAGACCGGCACTCTTGCTAAAAAAAAACATGAACTTTGTATTATTTTTTTTCATAGCTTTTTAAAAACAAATTATATATAGATATATGATCAAACATGTGTAATTGCCTCAGATATTCATATATTTATATTTACAAATTGCTATTTACCCAAATATGTAAGAAAATGTATCATTTTTTTATCTCGTCATTATAAATACTGAATCAATGTATTTCCTCTGAAATATTCTCATAAATACTATAAAAATATTTCAATGAGAAAACTATTCAAATCATTTTCCAACACTTCAAAAATGTGACCTCACTTGATGAATTTTTTTTAAAAACTGTAAAGTACATTTTTACGATATATATATATATATATATATTAGAACAAAGAAATACATGTATGTAATAAATCAGCAATGTGTATAATTTAGAAGGCTTGAGCAATGGTATTTAAACCAAACAAATAATAGCTATAAAAAAAAGCAAAACGTTAACATATTTATGCATAGCCTCCTAAAAACTCGAAATAGATGACGTCACAGAAATTTTATGGTCCAACGTGCATATATTTGGTATGATTTGTAGTCAGTGACCCGAATTTCAAACCAGTCTTTTCGGGGTTTTAAGAGCTGGGATGCCCTCTGTGAAACTAATTAAAATCGTAGCTTTAATTCCAGGCGAATCGGTTGGTTAGTTCTTGAGATATGATTTGTACCGTTAACGGTATATTAAGCTGTGGCCTGTGGGTACATTTGTAAATACTGCTAGCTGTACAATTCCTATCTTCTGAACCAACCAACCAATTTTTCTGAAATAAAAGCTCCGGCTCTAATTAGTCGTGTAGATTGGATTACAAGTCTTAAAAATTTGAATTTAAGAACCAAAATATCGGATCCTGTAGCATCATAATATCGAATTTGAATGGGAAGTTGGTACCCAAAAAAATCTGACCCCAAAAAATGTACTCTAACATGGGATGTCTGGTGTACAATTGAGGCTATGATTTATGCCTTTTGAAAATTGAACTATATTATGCTCTTTTTTTGGTTTTTAACAATAAGAAAACAAATATATATAAATATCATTATGTGTGTGAAGACGTAAAACTTTCGTTTAAATATCACATGGGAAACCGCTTTTCCGAACTTAGTTAGATATTCAATGAGTCCCGTGTAAGTTGTCATCAGTTTATCCTGAACGTGTTCGTGCTCGGGACGTGGAAGTAAGTATATCTTCTAGATTGTCGTTATTAGTGTTGGCATAAACAAAGTCAAACATATTAGATTTGACAAAATCTTGACAATAAAGTATCGTATATTGTGTTCTTTTTTAAAATGTATAAGAATATTGTCTAAACATTTGGTGTACCAGCACCAACCGCGATGCGTTGTATAGCACATTCAGTATACAATGTAAACGGTGTAGAAGTATAGTGTATTAGTGCGTGGACAATACAACGGATACATGCATGCTGAAGTTCCGTAGCGTTTCTGATGCTACACTATATTACGCCTATCTAAAGCTTGCAGCAACAGTCTTTATGTGTAAAGCGCTTTCCAATATACAGGATTGTCGTGTGATCGTAGTAAATCATAGCATATGACTGTGATAGCGTTGTCTATTGATTGTTTTTTTGTCATCGTTTTTGGTCAGAGGCGTTGTCAGGAGTTTTGGGGTGATATGAAGTATGCATTTGAGCGCCGTCGTAGGAGCAAATGTACAAGCAGAAAGCAAATTTATTGTTGCGGCAATGCTGTTAGCACTTTCAGCATATGCAAAAGCCCAAGTGTACTCAACTTAATCAGCGATGGCGGTGGGTGAATGGCTGAATCGACATCCTAGTACTAGATTATTTGGTTCAGCCATTCACCTAATTAACTTTACAAACACATTTTCTAAATCTAGTATTAATAAGGAGCATTTATTGATCATATCGAGTGGCTTTAAGTCGCAAACGTGTGTACTTTGTGACTTTTTCGGCGCATTTAGAATTGGGGGGCATATGATTGGGATGCGCTCTGTTAATCAATATCAATTCAGTTAAGACCTTGGCATGTGTTACCAAAACTCGACAACAAGATGCTAACTCTGACAATTTTTCATGTAATGAAAGTTGAACAGCCTAGTATGTAGACTGTTGACAGCTCCAGATTTAAATATGTGGATCATCACTACTAGGCTGATTTTCTGAACCTTTCGTGCTGGGAATTTGTTGTTGTGATATAGTGAACACTTGTCCCAACCAACAACCCAAAAAAAAGGATTGTCAGCACCTGGGTGGATTTCTCTGACCCGCGCATATTTTAGGAACTCGTTCAGCTTGTACTGTGGAAAAAGTACCCTGGACGGACGGTTTGGACCGGACCATAGGGCTCGACCTACAAGTGCAATTTTAGGACCGGACCAGGGGACCAGACCAAAGTAGATTATTTCAGAACGGACCAAATGACCTGACCAGATATTGAAATAGAGGATATAATAAGGAAGAATGCTTACTCATAGGGTGTCATCATAATTTAGGAACTAAGAGACGAATGATGAATCAGAAGTTGTCATCATAATTTAATAGCCAGAAGACGAAAACCATAGATACGGGTATTTTCACAGTTACCCGTTGTTAGAGAAAATCTCGTTTCATATAGGAACTTGATAATAAATACAGCAGACGCGCCGAACATAACGGCACTTCTGACATGACTGAGTTTACTTATTTTAGACTTAATACTCTTTACTCAGTGTCAATTGGTTTTGACCACATTTGAGTGACCAAACTACTGTATTCATTATACTACGTTTTTTGAAGACTAAGAAAAACAAGTTAGTTAATTTTTTGAATTATTTTTTTAACTTACGATAATGAAGAGACCCAGTGCTACACCGTTGTCTAAGATAGGTAAGCAAGCTTGTGACTGATTGCTGAAACGGTTGCTCACAGCTCTTTGTCGGTTACCATTAATCTGCGTTAAGGAACCTGAGGATGACAAGAAGGCAGCAATTCATCTGGAATCGATCCGGTTGGTTTTGGAGGCCCAATAC